CCATAGCGCCACAAGGCTGCTTTTACTTAAGTTGATTTTTTGCATAGAAGTTACATGCTGATTATTCCCTTTGGTTCAGTGGCAGATTATTGAACTAGCAAGTAAGCAGAAGGCTGTGTTTGACAGTTTGAAGGCAGGTAATGATGCAGTTAAAGCCATACAGAGTGAGATAAACATTGATGATGTTCAGAAGCTTATGGATGATACTGCTGAAGCAAAGGCTTATCAAGATGTGAGCCTGACATCACTTTCATCCTCATTTGTGCTGCTTTTATTGTAAAACCATTGCACTAGGGTTTCGGCTAGTTTGGTTGAGTTTTAAAAAACATGTGGGAAGTAGTATCTGGCTATTTATATTTAATTGCTTTTTTCTTTTCACATTTCCTTCTCAGGAAGTTATTCTGATGATATTGGATACTAACTGGTGGGCGGCATATTTGTGTTGTTTTTGAAGGAAATAATGCAATCTTAGGGGAGAAGTTATCTGCAGAAGACGAGGAGGAGATTTTAGCAGAATTTGAGGACTTGGAAACTCAGGTACATGGATTGTCGACTTTTTCTTTATAACAGCTACTTTCCAATGTCATCCACCAACACTGTTCTATATTCCAGTCGAACTTCTTTATAATCTCTAATATGAATGATATTTTTGCTAAGTTGGAATGCGACCTGTTTACTGCAATTGACTGTATAAAGCAACTCCCGATAATGCTTGCTTGTGTCTTAAAAGGATTCAACTTGTCTCTGCATGACCTGAAAGTACTGAACTCATGAATATTTCATGGCATGATTAATTCCAAATTGGAATGCCATTTGAAGAAATGAAATCATGAGCCTTGTGGGTTAGAAGACTTCTCTCGGTTGAAGGAGGCATGGATGTTCAATATTGTGCTCCTATAATTTGTTTATTCCACAGTAATTAACATGAAATTAAATTGTTTTCCTTTCAGCTTATGGTTCAAGACCTTCCTGAAGTTCCTACCACAGAGCCTGAAGGCATCAAGGAGGAATTGGACCTTCCTGATGTCCCAACCAAAACACCTGTTGCACCTGCAAATGATGCTGCAGTTTCTGCAAAAGCAAAAGTGTGTGCGCGCGCGCACGCGTGTTTTATCACCTCTCTCCCACTTTTCCGACCCTCCAAATTTTGAAAATAAGCTTACTGTTGGTTATTGATGGTGTTACAGTTATGGAGGAACCACTTCCAGCTTAAAGTGCGTGGCGGCTGGATGAGGCGGCAGAGCATCTGGCTTATATATTCACGTGCTACTCCAAACTTATGCAATTGCCGGAATTTAGGTTGGCTTTAGTATCTTCAGTCCCTATGACATTGGATTTGTACAGAGATGCTTGTATATTTTCTTTTGTTTTTTGGCCAACGAGATGCTTGTATATTTTACCAATTCAACGTAAATGATATTACGGAGAACACCAAATATTTTATTTTGGTAAGCACTCTTGAGCTCGTGATGGACTGTTACAGAAATAACGGTATCTGGCATGCATAACTATGCACGGGGGGCCCTTCGGTTGCAAGAGACCGGCCCTTTTCAGTGGAAAGGAGAGAGGATTTTGTTAACTTTTAACGTTTGATTCACAGATTATGCTTTCTAAGTGAATGGAGATTCATCCCAGAACTTGATTGCCCGATTCTTAAGTGAATGGAGAACCATCCCAGAACTTGGAGAAATGGATAGTTCCTAGATGAATGGTTCCTAGATGAATATCTGTTCTTTGGTTTGGTGAGGATTTCACTCCACATTTTCAGAGCTCAATATCTGTTCCACCTCTTCGCTTCCATGTGGCCTCTTCATTGTTTGATAGTTCGTTAACAAAATACTTTGCAAATTCGTATCCTTGAAATTCTGATTGTGCCTGCTCTTGTATTATATCCTGGAAATCCGCTTTCTTAGAGTTTACTTTTGAGAACAAAGACTGACCTATTTTTTTTTTCTTAGATGGCAATGTGATTATGTAGATCCAAGGGTTTCGTTCGCGCAGTTGACTGTTCAGTTATATAATTGTGTTATGGAATGATTTTGCACCGAAATACGATATATATCATATATGATGCGTAATTTGTATTGCACAATTGTTATGCACGATTTGATTATAAATGAGACCGATTTAATTAAAAGCACAGCATTCCAGATTTACATGTTCCCTATGTCCTGTACATTATATTGCCTTTTATTCTTTGACATCTTAAAAGGAAAATGTAGAACATTTGTCAATCAACAATAATGGGTTTTCTATTTCGGCCATTCAATAGGATAGCAAATAATGAGATTACAGTATGGGATTGTACTTTGCTTCACACAACCAATGTCACAACAATCATATAACAATTACCAAATGAGTACAAATCATTATTGTGATCCTGTATAAATTTCTACCATTTATAATACAGAGTCATACAGCATCATATACCCGTAAGGTTGCGAGGGCAAAGCTTATTCTATTACATTAATAATCTATAATGCACCATTTGTTATCCCAAAGACTGCCTCCAACTTAGATCTCTAGAAGAAAGTGACAAGAAAACCTTGACAGCAGGAATTGCAACTCACAAAACCAATATGTTTATAGTAAAGCCATTCTTCAAACTTGTTCTGATGTCATCAGCGGGGCAAAAGGAATTGAATTTCCAGCCATTAAGATACTAGTGTTGCTCTTGCCTGTCAAAAGAAGAAAGCAACCCCAGCTTAGAATGCCTTTCATTTTAACTCTAAAGGGGATAATATGCTTCAGGGAAACTAGCAGAGAGGGTCAACCATCTTGAGATTAGTGTGTGAAGTCTTTTCCCATCATGAATTTTCTGGATTATGAAACAAATCTAAACAAGGGCAGTTTAATTAACCAAAGAGGCATATAACCATGTCTATATTGATGTCACACATATTTCATAAAATAAATTGACAAACTGATGCAATACTGCTGGCATGTTCATGGGCATTCCTCCTTTCCAGTCTGATAGATGATATCTGATGGAAACATGTAAACTTATTTCAAAAGCCAAGTTTTACAAACCAATTGTGCTAGGTTACTTGTGAATGTTATTGACCAGTTAATCCTACACAAAAGAAAAAAGAAAGAAATAAAAAGCATAGAACGTATAGTGTATACGACACATTCCCAAGTGTGACAATTTATTCTCAACTCAAAAAAGCAGTCACCTTATAAATTGACAATTCATCTGCCACTCTTGATATTATAGGGTCAAATTGATACCAAATTCTGAAAAGTGGGGTATTTACAGGCCTATAAAAAAAATAGGAGCATAGGGTACTGTGCAGAATCACTTGATTAATTATAAATCAATAAGAATTTCCCTTTCTTTTAAACAGATATGTTTCAGAAAATGAAACAAAATGTTTAGGTCTGTAAATTCTTGCAGTGGCTACCTTCTTAATTTATTTTCTGAGAATCACGAACAAATTTGTGCTTTTTTCACACATGACAGTACACACACACAAAGGAAAGCATAATTAATCATCAAGGTACCTACTGTTTGCAAAACTGGGGGGAAAAAAGGATGACATGTTAGGGATAAGGCAAACCTTGGTGAAGGCAAATACGGGGAAGTGGTTTGAAAGCCAGCAAATACATTTGAGTAAGACTTCGTCAGATAAGAGAAATTGGCAACAGGAGACAGAGCAGGTACCATTTCACCTTTCTTCAAGAGGTCATGCAAGTTAAGCCTTTGCAAGGTCAAAACAGCCCTTGACTCTTTCCAAATAAAGGCTAGGACACCGTTGTTAAATACAAAGAGGGAACCAGGCTTTGATCCTGGGTATCTAAACCCATAACCAGTTGCAATACCCTCCCACAAAAGCATGCTCAATATTTACGGGAAAAGAATCCACATCAGGTCCCAAGGAAAGGGTTCCGATGAAGGCTCATTGGTATTTACTATAAACATCGCTGAGCCATTGGGATGCAAGACATAGTGAGTGCCTTCCAATATTTTGGTTGCAATGAGAAGCTGTTGCCCCTCAGATTCCTCATAAGAGAGCAGCAGCAGAAAAAGAGCCTTTCCAGACTTGTCTTTGCTAGGCTTTCCAGGAGGCCAACCAAAAGTCCCTCCCCAAAGACCTGCGTATTCTTGGTCAACTGTGGGAACTGGCATGCGGAGCTTATAAAGAGCAAATCGGCTGTCATGCATATTTGGCCATGCTCGATACGAAGATAACTTTACTGTTGAGGCATGTAATGTTAGTTTAACTGCGTCACTCGATCTGAGAAATTCATCAAGTCGTGCATGCTTACTCTCGCTGCTCGAAGTAACCTTCTCAGAGACTGCATGACAGCCATTATTTGAACTAGATTTCGGAGGATATGTTTAAGGCTATGCCAGAAAGCTCCACCAAGGCTTTTTCTCTTGTTGGAATTTCTGTAATTAATCACCTCGTCTGAAGGTGTGCCAAAAGCCCAGGAACGAATACTAGTTTGGACTTCATCCAGCTCTAATTGCACAGCACCAACTGCCTCTTGGGAGCTAGCTTTCTCATCAATCTGAATACCATTAGAATTAAGCTTGTACATTTGAATAAGTAGACTTCTTCTTTCTGACAAGAGCAACAAATCTTTCTGAAAGTTGTCCTTGTCCACACTAAACCTAGGAAATAAGGGTTCAAGTGCCATGTCAGGAACCTTTTGTCGAACTTGACAAGTAATAATCTCAAGTAACCTTCTTCTATCACTGAAACCTAATTTGCTAAAGGGAACCACCGACTCATTATTTCCGGTCCAATGTGATCTAGACAGTCCACCGTTTGAACTGCAAATATTTCCTGATAAATCCCCGTCTGAGCGGTGTGTACCATGCTGTGACTCTGCAAAAAAGTATCACCACATTTCTGCTGCGTGGGCTCAATCTCAAGCAATAGCACATTGCAAGTTCTTTCTATTTGTTTGATGAAACCAGGATAAATATAATTAATTCCGTTCTCTCTCCATGTAGAAAAAATGCGGTTGAACCATCAGAGTCACCAAGAATTTCAAAGACGGGTGCCCAGAGAATCGGACCATCCTCCATGCCCAATGGGCCAAGCTCCTGGGGAATAACCCGGCACCCAACAATAGAAACAAAACCAGGAATGACATAGACTACATTACCAAGCTCAGGATTCTGATGAACCCACATACCAACTAATGGTTGAACGCTGGTAAGAAAACGGCAAAGTGCCTTATAAGAGGACACACCTTTTCGCCACTCAACTATGTCTTTACGGGGCAATATGTCAACCATGTCACATTGAGTGAGCCAGACCTTTTCAGAGGCCGCAAGAGCGTATAAACTCCTGCAGCACAGACTGAGATTACATACATCGCTTGGCGAGAGGAAGTGGGAGACGATGGCAAATAAATCATCGGGAAGAGTTTGAAGCAAGCATGAATCGAAGGGTTTAGATAACATTATGATCAAACCAAAATATGATTGTCAGATATTCGAGTACAAAATTTACACCAATCAAGCATCAAATGCACCCATGGCCGGACGCAAACAACTGCAATTGATCAAAGAATTAACACGAACAGAGATCCAAACTAACAACAAATCCAAACCCCCAACGCAAACCTCAGTTGTCGCGGGTAGCAAGAATCAGTAACGGAAACAACAAGCAGAAGAATGAATTGGGCAGTCTCAGATTTTGCGGGGAAAAAAGATCGAATTGAATCGGTTCGAATTGCCTCCCGTGTACTGGAATTCTTGAGTTATTGGGACCTAACGGAGAAAGAAAAGAAAAGCAAGAATTGGGGATGGGAGAGGGTATTGACTGAGAGGAGTGAGGACCCAGGTCCTGTAAAGTGACAAAGACGACGCCTTGATTCGTTAAAACGCGCCGTTTCATCTGGTTGATGCTTCCCCAGTTCACACACCTTTCTCTCTCACACTCACACACATGGACGGGACGATCAGCGTCGGAAAGATTAAAGTGGTGGCAAGTGGCGGAGAGGGAGAGGAAATTCTGCATGAACTGTGAGAGCGAACCAATGTTAAATCAGCTTAAAGCAGAAGCCAAGCCCCCAAAGTCCAAACTCAGTGACCCCACCACTCGTCCTTCTACCCATACCACTCGTATTTCCACGACGACTTACCAAAGACAAAGACCATGACTTTGTGTTCACGAATTTCGTGATTTAATTAATATTTCAGGACATGACATGCTCCTAGTGCTTTGAAACTGAAGAGATCGCTGGTAAATATGTTTGTTGAGTGGATAATTAAA